GAATAGCCAAAGTGATTCTTAATTAAGATGACCATTTAGTCACCTACAGTGTAAACAAATTATTTTTCTTTACATGTGCCAGTATAAACTGTAAAGATTTGGGTCCCTGAATATATAGAAACCCTCACACCACATTCTTCCATCAAACATAAAGTTGGGAGTTGTACAAGTATATTAGTGTGTTTGGTTAGTATCGTACAAAAAATTCTTAGAAACTCTGACTATGCCTCTATATTCTAAATATTAGAAAAAAGCATAACTGAGATGCAATGATTATGAAAATACTGTAAAATAATGGTTTTCAGAGATTTCAACCGTACAGTCAAAATAAGAGTGGGAAGATTAGAGAGTGGAAAAATAGAAGGAGAAAAGAAAACTGAGAGGACTGAGAAGACCAGGTCTCATGTCACTACTCCCCCTGTTTTGTCTTTTTCTTTGGTAGGAATTTAGCAGAAATGTGAAGGTTCAATGGTGATTGAACACATTTGGAAGCACAATATGAAAAATGGAATGTATTTCTGATGCGCACTTAACTTCGAGTGTCCAACACCTATATATAGTATTCACACATTGGCGTTTGCATAGTCAGAATGAAACAAGTCAGTCTTAGCCAGACTTAAACATATTTTGTAATTACATAATTTGAAAAATCAAAGCTTCATAAATGTATGCATTTACACGCAATGTGGCATATGAATGGGACAAATAATGTACCTTTATTTTCCAAGGGCAAAATTTTCTCATCTCACAAAAGCAGCCCACAGCAATAGAATCCATTTCAGCTGTAAACTGCTGACTCAATGGGTATAGAGTTTAAATATCATGCTGTTCCTTTTTTAAATTGATTTTTTTTTTAAACCATGAATTTATTTTGCTGTTTTTCCATCACGTTCACTTGTATGAGTGTCGGTGCAAAGGGGAGGGAAAAAACAGTATTTCAGTGTCTGTAGCAGTCTGAAAGCAAGTATTTTTGCCATCCAAGGAGTGAACTGCAATGAGAAATCCAGGCTCAAGGCACAGATGTGTTCATTACCAGACAGTCTTCACTTCCCAGGTATCACGGTTCATTTAGGAGCCTGTTATGCCATTAGGTTCTCTGTTGCAGATGCTTATGGTAAGCCACTGAGAGAGTAAATATTGAAAGGCAAATATTAAATTCTTCTCTGAAACTGATTGCGTCCAGAAAAAAATGGACACTCAGCATTGTTTCCTCCTCACTTCCTTGCTTTTCCAGTTAACCTTCACAGTATTCCAACATGGAATTTTAATGGAGCAGTGCTTTGGGATGGAATGTGCACCTTGGTACTACCACACCTGCAACTCAGGGCCTCTGCACAGCAGAAAGTGACAAGAACATCTAGCATTTGTAGCACCATTTGCTGCTGCTTTAGGCTAGGCTGACAGACGCACAATCAGCTGCTCTGGCAGCTGACATGAACGGGGCTTTGAGCAGCACTAGACCTCTCCTTGAGGGACTAGCCCCCCTCCCCATAAAGTTTTCTCAGTATTCTGGCTTCAGGTACAAATGTCCCTCTAGCAGCAATTTCTAAACCAAAACTGAAACTCTAAATGCAAGAAACCTCTTTACTAGTACTTTGTAGAGCGCAGAACATTGTGGGGTGAAATTCCTGATGTTTCTTTCTAGTGTAGTATTTTTAGAAAAAACATTTTTTACATTTTTGCTCAGCAGTAGTGACTATTTGTCTGTCTTTTACTGGAAAACTTAGACACCTTTGATTTTGATGGATTTGAGGGGACAGATCTTGTTACTGATGTGTTTTACCTTGCAGCAATGGGAATATTAAACACTTGCATTTGGTAATGTTTCCCTTTCCTGCCTTGCCTAATAAATGGCTCAGAACTGCATGCGAGTCGTAATACCATGTCAGTTATTACACAGAAAGACTCTTGCTACTTGCAACAAGTGTGAGAGTTCATCTAATTAACTGATTTCAGTTCATTTGGCATTAAATAACTCCCAGAACTCCCATATGTTTGTCCAATATGTTCTACAAGGGGAATGATTCTCTAAAAGCAATTAAATAGCTCCTTTCAGACTGGCTTGTCATTGGTCATTCACACACATCCCTGCCATTGCTCTCTCCATGATGTATGCAGTCAGCAATTACACCGAGTGACCCTGGAAGTCTGCCAGTGGCTGTGACCAGAGCCTGCACTATTTCAGTGACTCTGGCTTTTTCAGGGTTTTTATTTATTTATTTATTTTTTAAATGAGGTGGGTGGGAGGGCACTTGGTAGACTACAATTGTAGTCTCCCAGTCATCTTTTACATCGACTTTGCTAGGCTGCTACCAGGACTCTCCTACCACTATTGATGTTATTTCTTTTTGTATCTTGTATATTTGTATTTTGTTTCATTCTTGATGCTTGAAAAATTTGAGCTATTTCTGATGGGAATCATCACCAGTAGCATAACTAAAACTCTGGATTCATGTCTCCTTAGGGTTTTGTGCTGAAAACAAAATAACCTATATTTTGCTCCCATTACTGAAGATGAATTGTCAAGCTTTGTACTAGCTTTGTAGGTAACTAACTTCAGCAAAATTCCACCACCACCTCCCCACCCTCCCCGTATTTTATGCATTTGTCAGCAGCAGCCACTGCGCAAAGGATGTGTTTTGAGAGAGAGAGAGGATAGAAATCCACCAACCAAGTTAAATAACTAAGGTTTGACTCTTTCTCTGGAAATACGCTTTTGTTACCCCCTTCCTGCAGCTGCGTCAAAACAGAGATAAGGAAGTAGAACGTATGAGCCTCTGCTGAGGTACAGCAGAGAGGAATCATATGAACTGAGTAACGTACTGAAAAATAAATATGTATAAATTAGGCTTGAGGGTTTCTAGTAATTCTGAGACATTTTTCTTCGTAAGTAACTGGATGATTTCTTAAATTGGCTGGAAAGAGAAGTGATTTGGGGTAACTGCTGGAAGGTTTTATTTTTAAGGAAATCAAATAACGGTTTGTAAAGGGTAGCAGGGGTTGGTGTTAAGTGATGGTATTTTGTGCAAAAGCAGTGTTTTCCTAGCAATGAAGGAGTTGTGAAAAGTTGTTTGTTATTCGTAGGCATAAGCAGAAGCAAGTAGTTTTTTGCTTGAACTGTTTGCTTAGAATAGTCATTCTGGTATCAGTTCAACAAAACACACAGTCTATCTCATGTGTCTCTAAACGTGGTAAGACTGCTGCCATTGCCGAGATGCTTTGCTGCAGCAAGGCCTGCAAGCACTGCCTGCTTTGTTCTCTCTGCTCTTCCCCCCCCTTACACACCCGCTATTCAAGAAGAACATGGCAGCTACAGTAGAGGCTGTGTTCGTGCTTTGATTTTTTTTTAGCCTAAGAATCCTACAAACACTTAGAAGCACTGAGGCTTAGGGAGCATTTATTGTGACACTTGAAACAGCAAAATTGGCCTTTTTTGTTAGCATGTTGTGTCTTCTTTTTTCTCACTCCAGTCTTCATCTCACAGATACTTGTACGTGTAGTCCTTAGTAAGGGATGCCACTGAAGTTGTTGGAACTTTTCAAGTCTTTAGCAAGAATGGTATTTTTAACTGCATTTTCAGAGTACCTGCTATTACAGTTATACCAAGAATGCTACCCACAGGTGATGTTAGATGGATGTGCAAAGTCAATTTGCAGGATTGGAACCTGATTGATTTAAGTGCAGGGCTACACATAAGTGTGCCTACATGACAGCTGCATTCACTTAATATATTATCCAAGCTGGCTTGGGTAACTTAGAATTCAACAGTATAGCCATGAAGCATTGGGCGCAGCATAGGCAGTATGGGATGGTTTGGTTGTTGCCATGCTGCTATTGCAAAGCTCTAAGGGCAATGTTGTTGTTAGCTTGTGACATGGCAGTAGAACTGTATCCTAATTTTCAAGCAGGGATTTTCCTCTTATTTATATCTTCGTATTATTATATCATCTTATTTATATCTTGGTTGAGGTTCTTCCCCTTATTTTTATCTTGGAAACACCATTTGATTAATTTTAAGCGTGAACTACATGTCCAGTAATTCAGAAGCCAAAAATTGGGATCATACAACCCAGATGAAGTATTACAGTGTAAAAAAAACCCAAAAAACAAACAAACAAACAAAAAAAACAAACCAAAAAACCCAACAGGACATTTCAATTGCTAGCTTTAATGTCTAAGAAGTAAGTCTCATCCACTTTGTCACTGGCTCTGCAAAGGTGTTTATTGTAAGAGGTAAGGAAAGCACATTTATGTGGGACAGGATTAAATTTAGGTTTGAATGAAAGAGAAGATTCTTGTCAGATACTTCATCTTTGTAACTTAGCAAGCAGTTAATCTAACCAAACATAGGTGATTACATTCAGATTAGATGAATCCCTAGACTTCAGTTGTGCTGATGGGATCTCCCTTGACTGTAATGGAGCCCACATGCACATATCAACCTTGGAGAGTTCTAAATTTAAGCAAAGAAGTTCTGTCCCTGATGTCTGCTATAAGATACCTAGCTTGTTCATTCTGCAGAATATAAATGTGTTTTCAAACCAGGGAGATCACACTCAATCTGGAAAAATTTATGAGACACTGTTTTTAAACCATAATTTGTTTTACCTTCACTACTGTGAAAATAGGGTTGATGACAGTCTTTGAAGGCAGAATTAGATGGTAATACTACCAGCTGGTGCATAAAGCAAGGCTTACTTGCATAGAGTAATTTTAGTGTTGTATTTGGTTTAAGCAAATTGAAATGTATTTTAAAGACCAGAATCCTAAACTAACCAGCCAACGATTTGAGTAGATGTGGCCTAATAGTTTTGTTTCATCTCCAGCTACTGCTTCTACATGAAAATTAGCACAGTAATTGGCTTGCTTATTGTTTTCTGTAACAGATGAATGTACTTAGATTTTAACTAAAATATTTTAAAATTTGCAGTTAAAGTAGATTTTTACTCCTTATTAAAAAGAGCCTGACAGACGTTATTGTCTTTTCCCCCCACACAAAGCCTACAGCCAGAAGGCACAGATGTTCTTCTAGGACCAGAAGTAACTTGTGGGCCCTCAGATTTGTCTGTCAGTACTCCGTTTGCCTTGACAATACCACACTGCGCAGAAGTAAATTCAGAGCACTGGAATATTCACTTGAAAAAAAGGACACAGCAAGGAAAATGGGAGGTAAGTTTAGACTTCCGCTCCCACTTAAAAGGCTGTACTAACGATGGAAACATGATTACTCTTATTCATGCAGGCGCAGGTCAAAGATTACATAAGTGATAGAAACAGTCATCGTAAAGAAACAATTTAAAAAAAAAAAAATTTTGCTTTTTGTTAAGAAGCAGCTAAACTATTCTCAACTATTTTACCAAGATGTGCAAGAAAGGGTCAATTTTATGATCTAGCCCATGTGACATGAGAAAATATTCATTTTCTCAGATCACTTAATAATGGAGCCAGTAGCCATTTATTTTTAAAAACATTGTTTTGCTAGATCATAGCTACCAAAGAGACTCATGTCAGAACAGTTGTTACATCCACGCAAGAATTTATCATGACATAAAGAAAGTTATGGAACTGGTTAAAAATATACACTTCAGTTTTTTTTAACATAGACGGATCCTCCTGATTTAAAAATCTTGTCTCTTTGTACATGTCATTTTAATGGGCATTCAGTGATCACCCTGTGCTCGTAACTTCTGAACAATTAGTGTACATTAAATGAAATATTTTGCTTTTTTAGCTGCAAGTGCATTTTCTAATCCTGATTTACTGGGGAAATTAAGCTTTGTGCATTTGTGACATGGGCATTTAATCATTTGTGTCTGTCCACCTGCACTTTTAAGCCCACTGGCCATCTTCAACTGAAACTGCTTGGTAGGCAGCAGTCTCAAACATAGTAAACTTTCTGCATCATCTGGGGAGACAGCCTACTAATAATACTCCTGAAGGGATGGCTAAAACATGAACCGAACTGTTGTTCAACATTACAGAAATCCACACAGGATGGAAAGGTTCTGAATTTCCCAACTATTAAAGTGTTTGTTGTACATGTTATTAGAACTGCAGAACTCGGTAACTAGACGCAAATCCATAGTCAATCAGGTTTTATTGCACTGCTGCTGCTGGAACTATTTGGTTCATTGCATAGTGAGGGAAAAAACCAGTAGTTAAAACATTCATGGATACCATAACTCACTATCCTTTTCCTCCTCTAAACCACTATGTAGTTTGTTGCTCTCGTTTAAAGCATTTCAAGCTCAGCTTAGTTTTCCTACTTCAGATGCACTTAATACTCAGTCAGCTCCATCAGTGTTGGTTACAAACACCCTGGAATTAATGAGGAGCGTAACACCAGACTGTAGACTGCTCAGATACCTCATCTAATGCTGTAATGCAGAACTAAGCATGAAAGGCAAAAGAGTGGGATAGGTAGTTTTCTGATGAAGGTAAACATAACTGTAATGGATGTTCTGAAAGGAAGTCAAATACCAACTATTGTTCAAGGTTTGCTTATTGACTTTAATCTTCAAAGTAATTTCTTAACTTGATATTGGGAAAAAAAATTAGCTAGAAAGTCAAGAGCACTTGAAAAAAGATGCTAAAATTGCTTACACATCATCATTATTATTATATGCTGTACACATTGAATTCTGCACAATATATTGCCATAAATCCTACTGCTGACTCAGGGCTAAACTGGGAGTATTTACTCATATAGGTATCTTCTCCCCTTCCCTGAGGTCAGCATGAGTAAAGAGTGCACAGACTGGCTCTCAGAAGTACTTTACATTCCAGTTGAATAAAAATAAACAAATAATGTCATAACTCCTATTGTCCTGAATTTCATTTTGCAGGAAGTGATGTCTGTGGAAGAGGAAACTACTTCTTGCTACTGCCTGTTGGATCCTTATGCCTGTCACATTCTCTTAAACAGCTTTGGAACTTATGCTCTTATTGGAGAACCGATCTCTGACTGTGCCGTTCGACAGCTGAAAGTAGCGGTTTTTGGCTGCCTGTCTTGCAATTCTCTGGATTACAATCTGAGAGTATATTGTATGGATAACACACCTTGTGCATTTCAGGTAAATGGTTTCACTTTGTTAATTTGGTTTTAGTTATTTTTCCATAGAATACTAACTTTCCTTTATTCCTGGGGATAGTCCCTGTGCAACAGCAATAGTCCACAACTCAAACAAATGAGAATACTGTATTTTTTTTATGCCACAGCTGCATGACTTATTCCAAGTCCCTTAATTTCTCTGCACTGTTGTTTCACTTGTGGATTTACACTGCAAGAGCTTTAGGACAGCCAAACTCTTTTCATTTTTTGCCAGGCAGATGGAAACCCACTCTGCCCACATTCTAGAGTAACCAAAAATCTCACAGCCATGGTTAACACAGCACAAAGCTACAGCTGATAAGCAAAGAGTGTTAGGTTGGGCTCAGTGCCTTGGCTACGACATGGGCACAGGCAGCGCTTGCTTGCATCTGGAGCTGAGTGCTACTCCACTACAAGCAGAAAATGTAAGTCGTTATCGTTTGATGTATAGTATTTATCACGCTCATTACCCTTACACTGTCATTAGTCAGTTCAGGATTTCCTCTCCTTTTTACAATTTGAGCAAGAAGAAAGAGATTGCCCCACCATCTTTTTAAACAAAAATTAAATTATAATTGTGCATTTCCCCTTTAAAAAAAAAAAAAATCACAAAACAATCCCCAGGTACTGATTAAAATTAGCATGATTTTTCTACATGGAATTCCAAGACAAAACAATGAAATTCACTGGCTTTTGCAGCCTTAGTAAACTCAGAAGCTTTAACAAAATGGTTTTCTTTTGGGAACTGAAATGAAGACAGTTGTGACAGATGAATTTTTGCTTCCTTTTCCTGTCGTACAGAATAGAAACATGAATCTTAATGAAGCACGCACTAATGTCTATGTGCTTCTAATAAAAGCAAAGCCACTGAAAGGATTGTAGAAAGACTTACAAAAGCTTTGTAATTATACCCTTTATAACACTTACACAATTTGTGGGTTACCAGTATTTTCCTGGATGAGTCTGCTGAAATTCAGAGGCCCGAATTCCTTCTTAGGCATTTGTGAACACATAGAAGTAGCTTTGAGTCCTACATTCAGTTAATATAAACATGTGTTGTCTGATGCCTTTAGCGACTCTGCATCAGTTATGCCCTGCCTGTATGCATTTAGTATTGTGCAGCACGTTTATAAAAATGTACAAAAATCTTCGGAACTTTTAAAGATAGAGAAACAAACTCCCACAAAATTGTGCAACACAACTACGAAAGAGGCCCACAAGAGGGAAATGAGATTAATCTTATTCAGAGCAACTGTTTATTTTTTTCACACTCCTTCATTACAGCATGGTGCAGTCTCTTTCAGTGATTCATTCATGCTGAATTTTACCTTCAGTATATTAAACTAAAAAAACCCACAAAAGCCCCCACCCATAGCAGCCTGATTTGACTGTACCATCTTGTTTTTCAAATTACTGTCACATTCAGCAAAACGATGAAGGAGACTGACTTACTTTTTTCTTAATGCACATTAAAATAAGTAAGATTTTAAAGTTACTTGCTGCTTTTCTGTAGAAAAGTGTTAGAAGAATAATTACCAGTTTTCCACATTCACAGAAATTAGAACAGGGTGTTTGTACATAATGAGACGACTGTATATTTATGAAATTATACTTCCCTTAAAAGTATGCTGCATCAGCTTCATGCTAGTGTTGTAAATATTAAGTGGTGAACATGGGAAATACAGATTTTTTTTTTTTTTGATAAAGTATTGGAGTCAGGCTTACCAAGTTTTGTTTGACACTGTTAATCCTTTACAGTGCAGTCCTATATGGAATACAAAGTTCCTTGATTTTGTCCCGGTGTGAAAACTTACCTTAATTTTCTAACAGGTGACTTTGCCCTTCATGCAATTCCTATTGTGTTGGGAAACTCTTGGCTCTCAAAAGATAAAAGAACCAAGTCCTTTGTATTCTGTATTTTGCCATAATCCTGCTGACGCTTGTGGAATTAAGGGCCATTATGCATTATTAAAGGTAGAGCAGTATTTCTACAACTACAGTACATTTTAAAAAAACGCAACACATTCAGGGAATTTTGAAAATAGTTCTGAAATAAGCTAGTCCCTTTGCTGTTGAAAATCAAAACCTAAAGTTTCCCTTCTTATTCCTTCTTTCATATAAACCCAGCCATCAGGAGTTAAAACAAACTGAATGCCTGTAAATTGGTTTAGAATAGAAATCCATTATTATAGTTTCAGAAAGCTCTAGCAGTCATTATATTTTCAGAAGGTCACAATGATTCCAGTAGCTCTTCCAACAATAACTTTACTACTGACAAGCACTAAACCTCTTCATTGTACACAGATTTTATATAATTTATGAGGATAAAAAAGGTAATTTTGAAAGACTTCTTGCTAGCTGATTTTTAAACACTCCTGCAAGCTTTCCCTCCTCACTAGTATTTTTACTGTGACAGTACAGGAATAAACATTGCGTAAGTACAGGCAGGGGTGATTTTTTTTACTATTATGTTTTAAATTCACAGGATTATATAAAAATTTAGGTTGGAACAGACCTCTAGAGGGCTGTAGTGCAAACTCCTGCTCAAAGTCAGCCCTTCCAAGATTGCTCAGGGTCTTGGCCCAGTAATTCTGGAAATGTCCAAGAGAGGAGAAATGAAACTGAAGCGTTTTGTCTAATGTGTACGCTTGCTGTGTTTCTTTCAGTGCTCTTTAAAGTCCCCAGAGTTACTTCCTCACCAAAACTGCTATTGACTTAATCTGTAACTGAGTAGACTATTCACCAAGCATGCCTTATGTTGTCTATTGTCCTTTTAGTCTGTTAAGTAAATATCTCGCTCAGCTTTGTATGTCGAGTCTTTAAGGAATACTAGACACAACCTGTAGGAGCTTTTTATTCAAAAGCTTAATTAAAATACCAAGGGTAGTTGTGTTATTCCAGAACACAAGAGGGACTAACCTACAATGATGTCACAGTTTAAACAGTTTCCATTTTCCTCTTTGGAGGGAAATAGCTTTACCTGGAAATGGGCTGACATAGTCTTGCTTCCCTCTTCATGCTGATGTTAGGGAGTGCTCTGGGTAATGAACTGCTGGTAAACTTCTCCTTTGTAATAGTGATCTTGTGGGATGCAATAAAATAGTAACAGTCAAACATGAGTAACTTTCAGTAAAAAAGAAAACTGGCTGGCTTTGACTTGAAACCCCAAAATGTGAAGACAGCCACTACTGTGTTGCAATACCCTTAAAGATTCCTTCTCAAGTACTGCGCTCCTAGTCTGAAGGTATGTGGGTATTGATACTGAGGTAGCCAACAAGAAAATTCAGTGTCACAAGTACCATCATTACGTACATGGAAATAGAGCTGACAATGCCTAACCATCCTTTTAACTCCAGTGGTGAAATATAAATGTCAATGCCCATCATCTGGCCCTGAGAGAAATACTCCACTGCTGTACCCTGGTAATGCTGTAGGTGAACTAGGCACCTTTCATAAAGATGAATGTTCATTAGATTTGGTGTTCGTTCCTAATACTCTACCGTTGCAGGAAGTGGTTTCGGATGAAAGACTCCAAGGAGGACAATTACTGGAGGAACCAAAACTTTTGCATTTCAAAGGGAATACCTTCAGCCTTCAGATATCTGTCCTTGATATCCCTCCTTTCCTTTGGAGAATTAAACCATTTACTGCATGTCAGGTACCTGTCAATTTTATTTGTTTACATTTGCATTCAGAGGAAGTAAGAATTTTCACTGGTACAGGCATAACCCAAATAAGACAATGGTCCCTTTTATTTTTGGAAGGTGTGGTTTTAATCTCTTGAGCATGCAACAAAAATGCATTGCCTTATGATTTTGACAAACACAGATTTCATATGTAACAGAATGCTTTACATTTTTCATTTTACAAAAATGCAAGCTTGTACTTTTCCTCATTTCAATTACCTCCAACGGAAGGCCTATATTCTTGTTAAAATTTATCACTCGTGAAGATGTTTCTTGTATCTTTGTCATTCCAATTTCGATATAACTATGAATATATGGCTGAAAATGACATTTAAATGTCATGAGTTCAAATTACAGCACATATATACTAAGAATGAGAACTGAGGAAGAGCAAATTATATTTCTGTACTATATTAATTAAAGACGCTGTTGAAGACAGGAAAGTAAAAATCAAAACAAAAGAATTTCTAAGTATATTGGTTACTGGAAATTATAAGCAATGTGCTGGCACATACAGTGGACTGGTCTTTTAAAATACAGAACTTACTTAGACTATATAATCTCCCTTTTCCCAGAAGCATATAGAGAGAGAGTTATCTATCATTCAGTATTTTGGCAAAAAAATTGTTCTAAATGTATTGCCATGTTCTCCAAACTTCTCTGAAACTTAGAGCCCATTGCTGATGGGCTGATCTACATCCAGATAAATTCTTACATCATTAAGAATACAAGGATAATTTATGCTACAACTTAAGAACTGAAAGAAACCGCATCATTTTCAGCTTCATATGAAGAACTGCTTGCTTTTAAGTGTTTTGTTTAATCTACTCACTTAATTGCATTTTAAAAGACAAACCAATCAGTATTAGGATGCCCCCACTACTATATCAAATACCTATCAAAACTAGTACCTTCCTGAGCAGTAAAAAAATCATGGGAGTTTTCTCTTAATACAACAAATTGAGTTTTGCCTCACACCATACTATAAACACAGCTCTGTACTTTGATTAATTTATTGTCTCTTGATCCCTTGTCCAATCCTGGAGACTAAATCTGCATGACAGACTAAAATTCAACCTCAAAGCGCCATTTAGAAAGAGTCTGTTTTCTGAAAACTGCTTTCTAATAACTGTTCGATAGATCTGAACTAAATATATGTAGCATTATCTTATGTTGATCTCTTCTGACTGCTTTAGAAGGCAGACAAAACACCTTCCACAGGCCCATCATGCAGAATGTGTATTAGTTAAATGTCCAGTGTACAGGAGAAAAAAAATCAGGAAAGTTTTAACTGAACTTGTCTTGCCATGGTGACCGCTTAAAAACACCACCTTACCGTGGTGAAAAATGTCCTAGACTTTTCTTGCAGCAAAGCAACTTCTTTAAATAGCTCTAGTAATAGAATATAAAACTGTTCAGAGATGAACACTTTCACTCCCTTATATTGGACACAGTAGAAATTACTGTTCATATTGTTTGCTAAGACTGTTGCAGAAAGGCATTGCAACTACAGAAGGAGGAACAGACCCTAAGAACCCAAATAACACTGTGGTATGATAAATTAGAAAAATGGCCTGCAGAAAACACCACTTACTGTGCTGTCTGCAAACAACTTTGCTGATGACCAGAGTAAGAGGTTTTACTACTCTAGCCTCCATGTTTCTTTGTAGTTAAGAATTCAGGGAGGATTATTTCTGCCTGATAATTTCTGTAAAGTTGTTATTTCTTTGGGGCATTACTTCCTTTGCTGGTTGTGAGTCTCTGGTGCATGCAAAGTTCTGAGAGTGACTCAGAGGCCTCAAAATACTTTGTGTGCGGTTCAGCACTTTTCTTAATGCTGTGTACAACTTCTATGAATAAATATATTGCTTATGGTATATTAAACTCAGGTATTTTTGTTCTCTGTTGGCAAGTAATAGCCTAGAGTTTCCAGTCAAAACTGAACTGCAGGGTGCTGTTAAAACAAGACATGATAGCCAATGCAAATTTCTCTATACTAATCTTCACGCGTTGCAAGGACCTCACTTTGCTGAATCTAATGCAAGTCACACAGTCCAAAATAGCTATTAAATTTATTGCTGCAAGATAAAAACAAAAAATAAAAAGTCGGATGAGGGAGTCATAACCCACAGAAGAATGCTTAAGTGCTGTGCTTGCTTTAATGGCAGACCTGCTGAAGATTTTGATCATAGCAGGCGCATTACCCATTCTCTCAGCAGCCACTCAGTTAGAAAGAAGCATGTGCAAAAAACCTCTGCTGACAGAATGGTCTGACACACTGCTGATACTGAAGCCAAATAAATATTTACATTTTATAATTGAGTATAGTTTGGGTGACTTGGACAGCTGAGAAATACAATAATTGTTTCTAACAGAAACTGCAGAACAACTTATATTGGCTTTGTATTTCCCCCTCAGTGAAATGTTTTGTGAAATGTCCCAACTCTGTTGACAGCTCTGATTTGGTTCCAGCCTCTTTCTTTATATATGAAAGAATCTGTTTCTTCAAGTGGAGTTTCTTCCAGTGTTTACTTGTTTTCTCTCCTACGTACCTCACTTTAAAAACAAGCTGGCTGTTGTGGTTGTCAAGATCAACTGAAAAGAGCCTGTTCCATAATTGTCTGTTTGGTCCACCAAACGAAACCATTATCAGATAGTATGATGAGGAAAGATTTATGTTAATGATTTCTCAGATAGATAAGTAAAGATCCTGCTTCAAGGCTTGAACAGATGAATAAATCATCATGTAAAACTGTGGCATAAAAGCAGTTAATGGCAGGTGGTAGAGTTTCTCTAGACTATGCTAAGTGCATTTGTTTGTCCTGGCCACCCTGCAGGAGAGATGCTGAGTGCTTGTTCACCATGTTCACAAGTAACTAGGGGGAACCCTCAAAAAACTGCTTGGGTGTTAGAGCAGGAAGAGGCTGTGACAAGCATGTTAAGAAGTCAGACAGGCACCTTTGGGGCTTAAGAGCAGCTGTCTTCCTAGCATCTTGTGTCTCTTGCAGGATCCAGTGTCTGTCTGTAGCTATGAGATGATTTACATTCCCTCTGTCTGCTAGGAACTTAATTATAAAGGGAGAATAAAACTGAAAGCATTTCTGGAATGCTTTAAACACTTATCGTTCCACCATGCTTTGCCCCCCCCCATTATGTTTCACATAATTCTTTTCAGCTGAGTGATTCTTCCACTCTGAATGAAAGCAGAGATGATTACTCTGGAAAAATCTAATTACAGTTGCTCCACTTCTAATATTTTGCTAATGTTTTCTTTATCGCTGTTGGTATCTTGCTACTGCTACCAACTCAGGACCTAAATGCAGAGCTTGTCATTATCACTTAGTGCATCATTACAGATAGCCTGAGACACTCTTAAGAAGCAGTAAACTGCGTATCAGCTATGAGTACAACGATGTTCTCCTTAGTTTTAGTCTTGACTGTACTTCAAAGTATAGGGTGAGGCTGATCTTTGAAGCTGTACATTCTCAGATTACCAGCGCATAGCTAATTTCTTCAGGGACATAGAAAAGATCGCAACCTAAGTCCAATAAAAATTGCTTATAGGAAGGCAAGAATGAAGAAATGCGTGTTTTCTGAGCTGTAATCTTTCAGGTGAGCTTCCATATATAAACTGATCATAAGAGTTAAATGCATGGTTTACTTGATTTAAACAGCTAATTATGACAAGCGACTAGTTGGTACGTCACCCAGTTATAACTATCAGTAGTAAATACTGAAGGAATTATAGCTGCCTATAGGCAGCACATTTTATGTCCTTGTCGGTGTCACTTATTAACCCTTTATAAAGCTCTGAAAAATGCAAGCAGAATGCATGCCCAGATTAAATTTGCATATAGTAATTACTGTATTTTCTTTGAAGGATCAGCTTCACATGCCATTCAAGTCAATTCTAAAATTTAAAAATAGTACCTGAAAAAGGGACAGAATAATCTGAAAATTCATAATTCTCCTCTAGAAAAACTAATGTAAAAATCTTTAAACTAGTTTTCTCGTGTTGGAATAATTGCTCATTGAAGCTGTTTAATGCTGTCCTATAATTATATGGATGAATGCTAAGATACAATAGAACAAAATATTAATATCAGTCTTTTCTTCCCTTTTACATTATTCTCCAGGTTGCCGATTCTACAGTATTTTCCAATATTTTGAAATTAATAAAGAACATATTTGGTTTAATTGTTTTTAGTATTTACATGCCTTCACGGCTACAATGTAGAACACCATAGTGGGTTTATAGCTGATGTTAGTTTGAAAATGGGGAAAAAAAACCCCAAACATGTTCTGAAAGCATAAAGAGAGGAGACCAGTAACAGAACTTTGGTATTTAGAAAGTAATCATAAAACAGAAGTTAGCTGCCCCCTATGTACTTCTCCTGTCTATTTCCATACGTTTTTAGGAACTCAAAGCAACCAGAGATGCCAGAAATCTCTGATGATTTAATTGCTGCAGTTGTCTATATAGCATTTGATGAGGGCATTCATCCCATAAACTGTCCCTGGCTGAAGTAGAGGAGTCACTGAAAGTAGTCACAGAATATAACAGGATGAAACTAAGAAGTAAAACTGAGACTGACCAATGATGTGCAGTGGGCTGCACGTGACTACCCAGGCAGGTGGGTGTTTTTAAATTTGGATGGACCATAAATATAGAAAATATGCTGTCATGCTCTATGCTGCATTAACTTACAGAGGAAGTACAGTTCTTGATGGGAAGTTCCTTTTTTTGGATTCTGTAGTACAAGGTGATGGCAAGGAGACACAGATTAGAGTAAGAGTTCTGATCCCTGCCTAGGAGGAGTAAGTGAAGTGCATCTTTCCTAAGTTTCATTTCAGATGGGAGTCTCTCATCATTTGTGTCACTGAATGAAATCTAAGCTTTCACTAAATGTAAAATCTTAGTATTTATCAATTGAATCGTCATTTAGTAGTTTTGTCCTAGTCTGAGTTTGCAGGGACATTAGTAAGAAAGCAGTTGCAGAGAAAAATAATGGATTTTTTTTCCCCTATTTTGTGACTGTCACAACTTCTCTCTCTCTTCCTCACGCCTGCCTCCCCGTTCTTGTGGGAAACGTTTCTCTCATAGGAAGTCCCATTCTCTCGCGTGTGGTGCAGCAGCCAGAAGCCACTGCACTGTGCCTTTTCACTGGAGCGCTACACTCCTGCGACTACACAGCTGTCCTGCAAGATCTGTGTCCGACAAGTCAAGGGTCATGAGCAAATCCTACAGATCCAGACATCCATTCTAGAGGTGAAGTGTTCTCCCTCCTTTTTGCTTTGTTAGGTTGCTGTGTAGTATGAGACATGATCCCTCCCCATTTTTGTCCTTTCTAACTCTGTGTAGTTTCTTATGCCCTGTTCAAAACCGTAACAAGTATATAAAGCCTTACAGATTCCTTTTCCAGCAGAAATCAAAGTACAGAGATTCTACAACACTAAAAATAATTTATATTTGAGTTGGTGGCAATAGTTTTCTTGCAAAAAGTTTTTGAATAGCTTGCAGAGCACCGAGAGTTGAAAATAGATGGATTGCTGTATGCTGTTAGGCCACTGGCTATTCGCTTATTAGAGCATTTTTGTGTACACAGAATGTCTTGCAAGGATTGTAACTTTGCTCACAGGTGAAAGAAATCAAACAGGTAGTCAAGCAACCTGGTGATGTGTCCTTCAGCAATGAAAACATTGGCTGCTTTTTTTAGATTATTGCGCATCTTTGTTGATTAATCCAGATTAATACTTCTGGATTAACGATATATGCCCTTTGCTAAATACACTATGCAGAGAATGCAACAACTAAGTAAGAAAACCACAAACAACATTCTGTATAAAAACATCCTCAGAATCCGGCCAAGCGTTTTTCCAGTTCTTTGTTGTTATTTCATAAAAAAGGTCTGTCATTCTCTATATACCTCAATACAATGTTGCTGCTGCCTTTTTTTTGGTCTCTTTTTTCAAAGGGACCTATCTGTCCGCAAGTCCCTAGAGCATGTTACAATTCTGTCTTCAAATGGATTTGCTAGTATGGAAGGGCTTTCTCATGCCTATCTCAAAAAGTGATTGAAGAGTGAGGATAATTTAACTGTAAAATAAATATATAAAAACCAACTGAATACTTGAATTGCTCATTGCTTTACAATTCCCTGAACTAACCAGGTAGCAGTAGCTTATCTCACATGTGCAGGGTATGAAAATCTACTATTGTTCTGCATATTTAATTGAAACAGTCAGACCATGCGATATACCTACAGCACTGCTATTCTTTGCATGGAGTAGCAGTAGCTTATCTCACATGTGCAGGGTATGAAAATCTACTATTGTTCTGCGTATTTAATTGAAACAGTCAGACCATGCGATATATCTACAGCACTGCTATTACTTTGCATGGATGACTTTTGGGATGTGTCATAAATGTTATATGAAGAGACTATAGCATCATTGTTATTTAATATTTATGATGCATTGCACTGAAATGAATAATGCATGGAAATGTGACTCTTATTACACATGACTGGTATAATTTCATAGGAAAAGAATGGGCCAGATCCACAAAAGGACCTGGATTCCAAAGAGATTTTTAACATGGAAGAACTGAGGTACTTACAGAATTCAGGTGTTTTTAAAAAAAAATCACAAACGAGGGATTTATGTGTCCATATTTTAGGCTTAAGCAATTAAAGATTTAGAAACCCATATGCTTTTGTGGCATTCCATCTACCAATCACTGCTCTATTGGACTTCATCTGTAACACAAAAATAAACAAGAAGAGGAACCTTGTAGAAGGAAAATGACACTATTTTAAATGTTTTTATACATAGGTACTTGTGATGTTCTAGAAGTTCCTTCACAAATCAGAAAAATACCTCTTAGCTATTTAATTTTCTGTTGTCAATTCTACAAACTACTCAGGCTCAGGTTTGATTCTTTCTTCCTCCAAAAGCAGACTTGATACATCAATAGGTATACGTAGGCAGGCTCACTGCAGGCAGATCCCTGCATAACAAGGCAGCAAAAAGTGTACAGAACTGTCTGCACTTACAGCTATTCTCATTCTGAAGAGGCTATGCAGAAATCCTGTCTCAGTTCCCCATTTCTAAACAGAGTGGAGTGTTATGATAGGACTCTTGGTGTTACTCTGTTACTATGCTAAAGAGAGCCACTTCCAGAGCCCAGGCAGACAGAAAGCCTGATGCCCTAACTAAATGCTTTGCTTTTATATTCTGTGTAGAATGAAAGAGAAACCATCGCTTTCTTTGCACATGATGACAGCAACTTCCCTGCACAGATGGGTCCAAAAGCATTCAAAATCCCCTACTCTATTAGACAACGCATCTGTGCAACATTTGACACACCCAATGCCAAAGGCAAAGACTGGGAGATGTTAGCACAAAAAACCTGCATTAACAGGTAATGGAAGGCAATTTTGAAAGGTGAACATTTACATATGCAATGGCAATAACTTGCTGCTCTTATGGGTTTATTTGTTTGTTTGCTGGTGTTAAAGATGTGTGCATAGCAATTAACATACTTACTCTCAAGGATAAGCTGTCGTTTGTACATTCTTTTATATACGAGTAGCTGCTGAAAACAGGAAGCGCTCTCTCCTCTGAATAAACCCGTGTGCCCTGTCCTACCTGATGGTTGCTTCTAAGGTCAGTTTCTTTGTTCTGGACTTGACCTGTTCTTTGTACACCCACAAGAGTGGGGTCTTGGTAAAGTATGTAACACCGTGGAAGGATTTTGGCACTGTTGTGTACTACAAAAGCCATGGTTTAAAGGACTTAGGAGGTTGCGTGTTCTCTCAAAAAAAAATTGGATGGCCTGTTGCCTTGGCTTCTATCTACGTATTTTGTATTCCAAAATGAATTATACACTTTGCAGATTTTTTTTTTTTTTAAGGAAAAGGCATATTTAAAAAAGAAAGTCATGATCTACTGTTAGGAGTAATAATATTATGATTATTAAAACTGAAAGATGCAGTAAAAACTAATTTATTCGTATTTTTTTTCCAAAATGAATTATACACTTTGCAAATTTTTTTTTTTTTTTAAGGAAAAGGCATTAAAAAAGAAAGTCATGATCTACTGTTAGGAGTAATAATATTATGATTATTAAAACTGAAAGATGCAGTAAAAACTAATTTACTACTTATTTTGCTTTTTCCTCTTGGCTAAATTAAATTGGTAGAGACAGTTCACTCACAGAAATATTTTCTGATTGTCACAAACACCATAAATACATTCCCAAGAGGGTAGAGGAATTTAAAAAAGAAAGTCATGATCTACTGTTAGGAGTAATAATATTATGATTATTAAAACTGAAAGATGCAGTAAAAACTAATTTACTACTTATTTTGCTTTTTCCTCTTGGCTAAATTAAATTGGTAGAGACAGTTCACTCACAGAAATATTTTCTGATTGTCACAAACACCATAAATACATTCCCAAGAGGGTAGAGGAATACTTAAATCAAGCAAAATAAATTTTCATTGACTTCTTGCTTTGCATGGCAATCTCAATAAACCACATCTGAACCAAAGAAAAAAGTAATCTATAGTGAGAGAGTCAGAAAATTCTGCTTTACTTATCAGTGTTTGCTGCCTATTGTCAGGCACTTTAATCTCCCCTGGGTTCTGTTCTTCATGTGTAGAGGAAGCTGGAGGAGATGTCTTCTTTCTCAGGAAACAGAGACAGTGTACTAAGGAGATTACACTGACTTGCGTAAGACTAAATTTATGATAGCCCTTTAACTTTTGATTCTGTGTTGGAGATACCTGGTAGGGTCTTTGCAATATCTATTTTTATAAAATCAAATTCGTAGATAGAAAAAGGAAGGTTTTGAGCAGTTTAAACAAACCAAAATGTAGTTATAAAACCAGATGGTAGAGCATAAATACTTGACTTCATAGATTTCCACGTATCTGCTGTACATCATAATCCACTAGTGACATCATAGTATTTCCCCCATCTATTTCAAAATACAGGCCACTGCCATCCTAGCAGTTCTGTTGAAGTCAAGGTATTACTTGACAAGAGTAACAGCCTGGCTTTAGCTCCTCAGTTGGGACAGTAATCTGTTCTTTCAATGCACTGAAACTATTCATATTGTTGCTACAAGGAATGTCTTTAAAGCTGGAATTGTACTACATGTACACACACACGTGTGCACAAACTGTTCACTGTATGTTAACTTCCGATCACCAATAGAGATGAATGTACTGAGGAAAGGTAATTAGCGAAGCTTGAGGAAAAAAAAAATGGTATCTGCCAGTTTTTTACTGATGGGTAACAGTCCAAAAATGGTCAGTAGCAAATATTTAATTATCATGGAGTTGGTTTAAAAAGCCAAGCAATAGCATTCAAGTCCAAATTTCCTTTTCTATGCTACAGGTTTATCTGTTTCTTCCTGTATTTATAGATATGTATCTATATGTAATACAAATGCTATAAATAACATTTATGCTTGTGACTGTGAAGTTAATGTATTTATTCAGATGATTATGTCCAAAGCCCATAAATAGAAGGGGTTATAGGGTAACGTGTTTAAGATAAACACTTGGTTTTACCAAATTCTTTGCAAATATCTCCTCTGCAAAGTCCTAAAACCTACATATTAATAAAATATAAATTTACAAATTAAAAGATGTCATATCTTCACATCATCACAAGCATCAATTTAAGTTATATAATTCCTGTCCCTGATGAATACTTGCTAAGTTTACTAATGATGCTTTCCAGAACTGACTTATTTTCGAAATGATATAGGATGGTACTGCTGGCCAGCATTTATGTACCTCAGAATATAAAAGTCCCTTGTTCATTCTACCTCTGCTAAACTGAGCAAGTGACATTTGAAGAATAAATACACCAGTGTGTGTCCTCTTGAGGGTTGCCTCCACTATCTCATCTAGGTCTTGCTGAAGGTTTTTTGTTTCTTAAACACATCCATAGTGCTAGGCACAACAGAGGGCACTTTCACATTAATGGCAGCTACAGTATATACTGTTCCTCATCCTTTTTGTTTCACCTTTTTCTCCCCTCCTTTTAGGAATCTCTCCTATTTTGCTACACAAAGCAGTCCATCTGCTGTCATTCTGGACCTCTGGGAAGCCCGACATCAGCACGATGGTGACCTTGACTCCCTAGCCTGTGCCCTGGAAGAAATAGGAAGGACACACTCCAAAATCTCAGACATAACAGAAACTGAGATTGAAGAGCCTGACTTCAACTACAGCAGACAAAATGGACTTTAGTCACTTTTTTCCATTCAAGAACTGATGGCCAGCTTTGACTATTACACTAGAGAATCTCTTTGGCAGGGAGGAAATAAGGGTTCCTGCGCACTGTGTGTATGGAAACAGACACTCATTTCCATAATGCAGTTTTCAGTTGGAGGAGCAGAAGAAGCCCTATTAAAAATCATCTCAGTAATAAGGAAAACACAAGCTTCTCCCTGTCCTCTCTCGTTTAAAATTCATGTTTTAATGTCAAAAACAAAACTACACATCTATCATTCCTGGGGCAGGAAGGAGTGAGATACAGAGCCATAAAAGGTAAATATTATGACATAATGTATTTAGGAAACAGTAATGCTAATATAATGCCTAGTGAAAATCAGCAAACATGATATTGACTATTTAGAGCCACTAGAGGTTACTCCTAGTTTAAAGGTTTGTTGTCTTGGGGCCTTGACAAAGTCCTGTTGTCAAGGACTCCCCTTTGTCCTGCATCTCTAACTTACCACACTTAAAGAGTGGGTTTAAAACGTCATTTGATAGCATCATGTTGTCACTTGGTATCTGCTACAGAAAAACTGAAAATCCGGCCTTATCCTGTTCAGATGTTTGAGGAATTAGAAGATCTCATAACTATTTAATTAGTATCATGTATATTCCAAACAATTTATTTTAAAAATTCAATCACTTAATGAATGTACATTTGCTGCAGAGCTTTCCTGCCTATTCTGTTAACAAAATAACAGAACAAAACCCTTCTCTGTGAAATCAGTGTGTGTGAGAAAAATTTTCTAAAGTTCTCAGTCTGCAAACTTTCAGTTAGTCAAAGAATGTTTCTTTGGGGGTGGATTTAAATAACCAAATAAAATGCAGGAAATTGCCAGCCCTATTTTAGCAAGTTTACACATTTTTTTATTACTTCATGTTCTGGGGCTAAACTAAAAAGTAAAGGTGAAGTCAACCAGCACAGCTTAATTTTGGTTTAGTTTCAGGTTGAAACAATAAACCCCACATGGTACTGCCAAAAATTGGCTTGATTTCATTGTACAATTTGGAAATTTTAGGGGATATAAAGCTGGCTGTGTTACACTTGGTTTAGTTACAAACATACTGCATTTACCACCAAACCCAGAATCTAACTAGAGAATTCTCCTCATTGTTTATCCATTTAATACAAAAATAATTTATTACTTCAAATGAACCAAAAAGAGAGCTGTCACTGTGAGTGAGTGTCCTTAGTGGAACTGGTACTGAGCCAAACTTAACCATTATTTTTACTCATATATTCTTTAAAATTAGCCAAGGTGCTCGTTAGCTCTGGTCCAAGGCTATCAGTTTTGGTGATAGGAACACAAGTCTTTAGGAGCTTTATGGAAATGCAAGAAATTGAAAACAAGCATTCTGGGTTTTTTTTTTTACCCCTGTATTTGGCCGAGAGCAGCATGATAGGCCACAGGGTAGGTACTTAGTGCGCAAATCTATCATAATCTGAAACTATTTCTTTACCCAGGATTCCAGTTCTGAAAAGTACGATGAACAACTCTTGATGTAAGACTTTGCTTGATCTTGCTGATCTGAAATTGCAAATTTCATTGCTTTCCCAGCTCAGCAGGCTGGAACAGTGTTAGACTTATAAATGCTTAGACTTCCCCAAACATTTTCTGCACTTTAGTACTTCATGCAGCCTGACATGAGAGTTCCTGTTTGCAATGGGAATTCATAATGGCTGCAAGCATATTTAAGACTGAGACAAAAATACCAGCCTATTTGGCAGCAAGCTGTCACTGTTTTCAGCAGCACATGGTTCTATCTGTGTTTGAATTGTATTTCTAGTGACTTCCAGTCCTCCTCCTCAGAAACCTGTTCTTCATTGGACAAAATGTCATGAATTTAAAAAAATAGGGAATGGCATCCACAGAAAAGCAGTGGAGTTTTAGTGAGCTGCTGTTGTCTGGGAAACCAGCTACAGTCACTCTCCAGCAGTTAATTTGTTCTCAGCTTCTCCTCAGATGCAGTTTTAATTTTCAAAATAGCTTAGGTTAGCTACCACAACAAAGACCTAAGTACTGCCCTGCAGGTGCTGTACCATATTCATGTCATTCCAAAGAGCTGTATGTATTTTCTCCTCTTGTTTTCCAAATATATGCGAGCTACACACAGCATACAGGGTCAAAAAGAGCTCAGACCTTAAAGCTTTTTCTCAGGAAATGCACAGTGTTTACTTTCAAGACTTGGGTAGCTTTGAAAAACCTCTATGTACAGCAACACCCAACTCTGCCTACTGAATGCTCGGAAAAACCTAGAGAGAGAAACCAGAAGGTGTCTAGACTGACTTCCTCCAAAACACATCTAAAAGGGCCTTCAGACTGAAGGGATCTGGGTTGTACATCAAAATCCAAGTTAGATGCAAAATCCAATGAAGTCTAGTGTCTGAATTAATGTACTGAAAAGGAATAAATGTCAAAGTTTCTTACAATGCCAGAAAAGAAACCGTTCAGTTTGAGGCCTAAGGTAAGATTTTAATTTTACATTGCTCAATAGAGTATTGTTGTTAACCTTACTTTGGTTAACCTTGCTAAAGCAGCTGCTTTGTTACTGATCTTACTGTAGTGAATCTGAATCAAGATCTCTGACTTTCTCTAACCTATTATTGTTTGGATGCTCTCGTATTGTTTAAGTGGACTAGAAATGGCACAATACTGCTTATTTACTATTCTCCCATTGGAATGGGGTTTGAAACAGTAACCAAACCGCTAGCCTACATTTCTAATGCGAGCTTATCTAGCTGTACACCCAAGTCTTAGAACTGCCATACTATGTCCGGTGAAAATCCATTTAGTCTTGTATGGTATCCCTAATAGTGACCAGGATTGAAAGTTTAGGGAAACAACATAAGAAACATTCCCTGTACTAAAGGACTTCCTCAGCAGGGGGTTGCAGCTGGACCACTGTGTCTAAGAATCACTGATACTGTCCTTCCACAAATTGACCCCTTTTGAACCCACTGAAACACTTGGCCTTCATGATCAACATCCAGGAGGAACAAATGCCACAATCTTCTTTTGCATTTTTTTAAACAGCCCTTCCTTTCCAAGCTTTCCTTTTGTTCAACACGTGCTGCCTAACAATTGCACAGGGCTCCCCTATTTCTATGTAGTAAGGAATACCGAGTAACTATTACCAAATCACCTTGTCCATATTATGCATTCTTTTACAGGCTTCTCTCGCATTTCATTTCTGTTGTCTAGACTGAAAAACCCTGGTTTATTCTACTTCTTTGAACATCCTTGCTGTTATTCTCTGTATCATCTCTAGTTCTGTATCTTTTTGGAGATGGAGTGGCCAATAACCTGCTGTTCAACAGGAATGCAGGCTGAATCACAGTTCCTCCATTTCCTCAATTTCTTGCTGTTCCCACATTCAGTATCAATCACAGAGGATTAAGATCTTGCTATTAGCATAAAGCCACAAGAAACGCCTGCGAGAGCGTGCAGGATGCCTGAGAATACAGTAACTGACTTTACTATGCAGATTACTCAAGCTAATACATCCTGAACATCCAGAAAATCAAACCGTGAGGAAAAACTGTGTAGCTGAAAAGAAAGACTGAGGTGACAAAGATGTCTTCAAAATCATTTAAAAAAAAAAAATCATAAAAAGGAAATTATTTGTTCTCCATGATAATGATGAATAGTGGTAGGCAGTAACTAGACAATAAGAAGTTAAGTTAGACTTTTGAATGGAAAAATACGCTACATTTTTTCTCTATTCCCTTTTCCCCCTGCTGCATCTGTTGATTACCTGACATGCCTGTTTTCAGATGCTCTCTTTCTGTTGTTTTGTGTTGGCATCATGGGATGATATTAATAGCACTTAGCACTTTTACTTATAGAGGCTTATGCCAGTTCTCCTCCCTTTTTTATGCACAGTCCCAGTTTTAGAGAAGGAGAAATTAGAACGGTTTTTAGGTAAATGCTTCTGCTACCATATAAATGAGGCAGCAACATGGATTTTGTTTCCATTAATAAACAGCTAAACAATACAAGTAAAGATGTTAAATGTTTGCTTCCTATTTTCCACAGTAGAAAGCAGCTGACTTTTGCCAGCTCCCCCACAAGCCTGATGTAAGTATGCTTTGCAATACAGTATTCTCTCAGAACGGTAATTTAGAATTTGTATGCAAATGCTATATAAATAGATATGTTGAACATTATTAGCAATCTTAAAACTCCAGAATCACATTTTTAACATCCTGTGTTAAAAAGATTTTTTGGAAATCTGTATACATATATATATATGATTTGATCCAAAACACAGATGTAAAGGAGCATCTGAAGCAGGATTAGAGGCCAGAAACTGAAAATTTATTCCTTTCCTCTATTTTATAAATTATGACTTTTGAAAAATAATTCTAAAAATCTCTTCACAAACTAGAAAGTAAAAGAAAGAGAAATGTAATGTTACACACTTAAGATTCCATCTAACTGCCCTGAGTGTGAGATGGTGAAATAGCCATTTTGATTTTACATCACCAAAGAATCTGCTCTAGTATATTTTCATCTTCCTAAGCACTTTTCCCAGATATTTCTGTGCTGTGAATCATATAGGACTAATAGTTGCATTTTAAAAATGACTTACAATTTTGTCACCAAAATGGTGCACGTCACAGCTCCGCCAGACTGCAGCATCGTAAAGCTAATTTACAGTTTCTACCACACTGCTTTTGCAGTCTTACTAGTTTACATTAAAATCCTTTAAGCCACAAGGAAAGGAACCCTGCGCTCTGCAGATTTAAATTCAAACTTCATTTACCAGTGCAAGTCCCATAAAACCAAGATGTACTCCCACAAAAATTTTATTGGGCTTTTTGTAAGATGTAGATGAAAAGATATCGACACAAGTCTCTTAAAATACAGGGAACTATTTTTGTTGTTATTTTTATCTCTGGCAACAGCTGGTCTCCTCCTCTATGGGCCTGTGCACAGCTTGCTTTCAGCAGGTTGAGAGAGAAGCTTATT